AGCTCTGAGCATATCCTCGAGTATCTGGATTGTCCTTTCAGACTGGCCATCTGTCTCTGGGTGATAAGTCGAACTAAACTTTAACTGTGTGCCCATTGCTTCATGCAAACTCTCCCAGAATCTACTGGTAAATCTGGGATCTCGATCTGATATGATCGTAACAGGCACTCCGTGGAGTCGAATAATTCCACGGGTATATATCTCGGCTAACTTATCCATCGACATGGTCATTGTCACAGGAATAAAGTGTGTGACTTTCGTCAATCTGTCCACTACTACCCAAATCGCATCATGATGTTCTGACGACTTCGGTAGTCCTATAACAAAGTCCATGGTAACTTCTTCCCACTTCCACTTTGGAATCTCAAGTGGCTGTAACAGACCCAATGGACTCTTATGCTCGGCCTTAACTTGCTGACAGACCAAACACTTCTTTACAAAGTCTGCTACATTTCTCTTCATTCCCCTCCACCAAAACGACTTTGTCAAGTCGTGATACATTTTGGTGTTTCCGGGGTGAGCTAAATAAGGTGCACTGTGAGCTTCTGTCAAAATCTACTTTCGCAAGGCCTTAACTTTCGGCACAACAATCCTGCCTCTAAACTCCAAGGCTCCATCTGTGCCTTGATAAAAGCCTTCCACTCCTCCATCGTGAACTTTTTCTTCTATTTTACGAATAAACTGATCGAAAGACTGTTCCCTCCAGATTCGACCTCTTAACATTGGCTGAACTCGCATCGAACTAACACTTCCCAAAATCTCTTTAGGAAGTGACTCGACAACTTCAATCTGCAACCGCGCGAATTCTCTAATGAGATGGTTCTGCTGTGTGATACAACAGCCTAACTCACCCTTCACCTTTCGGCTTAGGGCATCTGCTACCACATTTGCTTTTCCTGGATGGTACGGAATGGTGCAGTCATAATCCTTCACAAGCTCTAACCATCTTCTTTGGCGCATGTTGAGCTCTTTCTGTGTGAAGATATACTGCAAACTCTTGTGATCAGTGAAAATTTCACACCGTCCACCATAGAGATAATATCGCCACATCTTGAGTCCGTGTACTACTGCTGCCAACTCTAAATCATGTGTTGCATAATTATGCTCATGTGGCTTCAGTTGTCGCGAAGCATATGTAACAAGTTGGTCATCTTGCATAAGTACACACCCCAAACCCTGCTTTGAAGCATCACTATAAATAGTGAAACCTCTAGTAGGATCAGGAATAATTAGTACTAGAGTCGTCGTAAGTCTTTTCTTGAGCTCTTGAAAGCTATTCTCACAATGATTCGTCCATTCAAAATTCACATATTTTCATGTCAGATTGGTCAAAGGAAGAGCAATATTTGAAAACCCTTCAATGAATCTGCGAAAATAACCTGCTAACCCGAGGAAACTCAGAACCTCGGATGGATTCTTGGGCACTAACCAATTCTGAACAGTTGCAATCTTTGCTGGATCAACTTCTATACCTCTCTCAGTGATAATGTGGCCTAAAAATGCCGCTTTCTTCAGCCAAAACTCGCACTTGGAGAACTTGGCATACAACTTTTCTTGTCTAAGGGTTTTTAAAACAACCCTCAGATGACTGTGGCTGGTTATCTCCTTCTGGTTGTCTCTTATTCTTGTTCTTCGCCTGCTGAACCATCACCGGCTATACTGTTGGCAAAGCTAGAAATTGAACTAATGGCTGCACCAGGACCTTCTCATCACCCCTTCTGAAACTGGCATCTACATCTTGTGCCTTACCTACAGTATCAGCATATGAATGGATGCCATATCCCGCTACATGGGGACGGACTGCTGGTCGTAGTCCATCACGAAAACGTCTTACCTTCTTCGCCTCCGTATCCACCAGATAGGTAACGAAGGATCCCAGGCGAGTAAATTCTCGCTCATATTAATCAACTGAGCGATTTCCTTGTACTAACGCTAAAAATTGGCGTTCCATCTCAGCCTCGTAATGAGGTGGATAGTATTTTTCCCTCAGCATCTCTTTGAACTGAGGCCAAGTGAGATTCTCCTTCTCACTAGGTCGCGTACCCCAGTATGCATTCCACCATAACCGAGCATCTTCTATCATTTGCAATTGAGCACAGACAATATGATGTCTCTCTGTACACTCCATGATCTCGAAAATAGACTCGAGACCCTGGGTCCATTCGTCCACCAAACGGGATCTCCTTGTCCTGAAAATTTCTTTGAGTTGTAGCCTCGGAATTGAGCAACTACTTCCGCTGTCGTCATATCCCTCTGAGATTGGTTACCACGACGTGTCATCTGAATAATCAACCGTAATATTTACCAAAACAGAAGATAGACTTTAGCCTAATTGGCAAGGAAACACTGACTTCCGATAGAATATAGATCTGAAATTTTTCTAAAGGAATTTCTATTACTGATTTAAGCATCATAACTGATTTCTAGAGTTAGGATATCTTAATCCTGTTGAGCATAGACTTAGTAATTTGTTTATATAAAACTTTTGCAAAAACTTTTAACAGCACTTACCTTGAAGTCGGCGAGGTGTGAGTGTGGTGTGGTCTGGTTTTTCTGTAACTTCTGTCAAAACGGTGGCTCTGATACCAACTGTAACACCCCGCTTATCAGAGTAAATTTTTCGCAACTTATTTTTCGGAAATATTATATATCACTTTAACTTAACTCGGGATGCTACTAAAAACTTATCTTTTCTAAAAATCCGTTTTGTCTTTAATCTTAATCTAACTACTGAGTTAGACATAAAGAAAACAGATTTTAAATCTTCAATCAAACACGCATGTAAATATACCTTGTTCATACTGATGAACCGGTAAAATCTAAAAATAACATGCAGTTCGAATTGAAACACATAGCGGAAGTCTTAAAAACGTGAATAATTACACAGACATGATTTATTTAAAAGTCCATATATCAAAAGTCCATTGAGTCATATCCCCGAATACCACATCTGATCTCACACCTCCGCACCGACCCTGTGACCGGAAAATGATAATAGTGGGGCGTGAGTAGTAATCCATTGTACTCCGTAAAAATCCATACTAAAGCAAACAACAATAATAATATAATATCATGATCGTGGGTCTATATATATATATATATGATCCGGAAATCTGTTCCGATAACTGAAACTGAATCTGTAATTTGGCCGATATCTGATCGGATACGTGTGCACATTCTGATGGATATTTCTAAGGGAACTGAGAGCCTCCATCAAAACTTAGGATGTACTGTTAAGGCAACTAAGGGGCTTCATCCTAAGTGTATAAACTGTATATATACCTCGGACATGATATCAATATTATAGTTAATGTAATACCCAGGTTGGGTCCCCACCTTTCTTCTTTGAAAACTCGTAAGTGCTGAATGATATAGTTGAATCTTCAAGCTACATAAAAATATAAACCAATATACTAAGTACTATGTTTATATACTCAATAAGATACTAGGATACTTGATTCTATCACTTATCCGGATTATAATGAACACTCTTAAAAGTTCACTAAATCCCAATTTAAACTGTTAAACTTAAACTCTTCTTTAACTTTTACTTAAGGTTGAATACTTTCACATATAAATCATGACTTCTACGACATGAATATTGGCTTATAATCACATGTAACTTAAAATGACTCGGAAGTGAAAATAAGCTAAATTTCACATGATATATGACCGAGTACATGAACTCAAAACATGCTCAACTTTTACCAACATCATATACATGATTTATAAGGATTTATAAGCTATTACACTCGACTTAAACATGCTTGGTACTAAAAATTCGAATTTAAAGCATATTCAACTCAAGTGCTAATCATAACATGAAATTATGCTATTTACATGCGAGACTTCAAACAATTTTATAAAATCTTATACTCAACATATTAAGCTAAAAACTTGGTCAAATTGTTCATCACTCATGTGAAAATTTGACATAAAAGTTTCACGTTAAAAGCTCGAACAGGGACCGAGTACTCTTGCATATAAAATTATCTAGACATACATGCGGTCTAAACATTTTATCTCATTCATTTCTCAACTTAAAATCATGAAATTTGACAGGCATGCTCTCAACACATATATATACATGTCATCAAAATTTCATAATTTTATCATGCATATATCTCGACTTATTCAAATTCAAAATTCGCAGCTGAAACTTGGCATAAAAACTCGATTTGTATGATAAACTTTAAAAAATCTATAACTCGAGCTATACTTAACTAAATGACATGATTCTTGTTCCCATGTACTCCTTATTTACACAAAAAATATCCATTTAAATCATACTTTCCTATATTATGCATATCATACTCAAAAACGCATTAGAACAGAGCACATATCACATACATGCGAGCTGGGAACTAATTTAACTTCTTGCATGCCTATAAGCGATTATAAACTGAACTTATAAGGCATTAATATACATGAATAACCACCAAAGCTCACCTACAAAGCATATAAATAAGTTTTGTAATTTACCTTCTTTAATTGACTCGAAAAAATCAAAAGTTGATCTCAACCTATCTTCGGCAAAACTCCTCTCGATTTTTCTCTCTTTCTCACTCTCTATTTAAAACTTTGCTTAATTTGGTGTGAATTTCGATTCTAAGATAATGCCCCTTTATATAGAGTAGCAAAGTAGACAACATCACCTTCTTTACATCCACACTCCATCATAATAAACACCTTAGAGCCCTTGCCATTAAAGTTTTTCTAAAATCTTGCACAAAGTTGATTAGGCATTGATAGGTACTTGAAATGCATGATTTCTCTTGTATATATCAAGACAAAAACTCCTCCGTTTGACCAGACCTTAATATCTCTCGTAATTAAGCTAAAATGGCTTATTTATCACTTAAGAATACTTAAAAAAATTTGATAAAAATAAATAAAGATAAAAAATTGAAATCATAACTTGTAAACTTCTCCAATCTATAGTCAATACTTAGAAAGAATCATCATGTGATTAAATTCGTTAAGTTTTTCAATATATTCCGCTGCGCTAGGATTAAATTCGTTAAGTTTTTCAAGTTGCACATGATGAATCGACATTCTTAACCGAACCAACACAGTCATCCTCATAAAGTCTCAACAAGTCTTTAAGAATCTCAAATGAATGCACCTCCGAATTCATGGAAACCCTCGAATTTTATTTTTTATTTTTAAACACGGATATATGTACAAAACCACATCGGGGACTCATAAAGTCATAACCTATGTAACACAAAATTCCACCGACTCCCTACCCCACCCCCCACACCCCAAAGCAAAAAAAAAATCACGTAAGCTTAATCCCTCACCCGTCATGTCCTCCACAGCACATGAAACAGCCGAGGCACGCCAGGGCCCCACACAGTTGGGTAAGGGCTATGGCACACTGGTCGTTTATCCGGGAACATGTCTGGATGCAACACATGCAGCAGCAGTGGTTACACATACTCCCACAGCAGTTTGAGGCCGCTCGTGCGAAAGCCTCCGCAGCATCCGGGTGCTTCACGTCGCCTGATCCAGGAGCCACATTCTCATGCGTGGCTGTTAGGTTGCCAAAACCAAGCCCCATGTCACCAAGGATTAGTACTCTCTCCGGCTTGGAGTCCTCTGTCTTGTGAGCATCAACTTTGCTGGAAACCTGTGAATAAATTAGGATTCAGTACTGTTGGTTGTAGAATATTGCATGCAAATGTTGTAATATAAAATAATTCATACATAAATAATTATTTATCATTTATCGTATAAACGGTGTTGAGGTACTGTTGGTGCTTAATTTTGTGCTTGTGTGTTGTTTCTTTTTCTGTTATTTTTTCTCTCTTCTTGGCAAGTTTGTATATAATGCAGTAGGATTGAAGGTGAGTAAACTCATAAACTTTATATTCAACCCCGTATGATGATCAATTTACAATGTGGATGATCTCGTGTTGAAAGGTTGAAGGTAAATACGAACCTTCTGTGCAACAGTTGAGTTGGCACTTGTTTTTCCTCTCTGGGTCTTGAGCAAAACCATGTTTGTGTATTCGGAAACAATAGCATGCTGGACACTCATTTTGGCAATCTGCCAGGAAAAATAAACAAAAATCATCGACTGATAATAGCATCTTAGCATTTTTGTTTCGAACATCTAATACCAGTCAACTATGGAGGAAAATGGAATTTCGAATATGAACTGGGGTAAACAATCTTTTACGAGAATAATACCTGCCCAATTTAAGCAGTAATAAGCAAGAGTGATGTCATAGCCAACTATCAACATGAAACAAGTCCAGGACAAGTTTGTGACTAACCAAATCTATCAAATCTATCCATAAAGAAAATCTAACACACAAAATTTTCATATGCTTGAATGATGAAAGTTCTAGATGTAACGCAGCAAACTTATCTAGGATAAACCTTACGTTTTACCAAATGACAATGCACAACTACTAGTAATCTGATATTTAAAATGATGGATTAAAACATATATCAGAAACATGAATTCACAGAATCTACATCTCTGAAGAGTTCATCTGCACACATAATATCTGCTGTGGAGATAAATCAACACATCACAAAATTAAGAGCAAGTATATCGGAATTACCTTCTCAATCAGTTCCTCGCTTTCAGAAAACCAGGCCTCAGCTGTAAGAAGTTCAATCTGTTGCTTGGCTACTACCTGTGACCACAAGAAACAACCGAAGAAATTGTCATAAGATTGAAGTCAAAGGAAATGAAACTAAGCATTGAACCATTGCAAGGGCTCCATCCCCTTCCATACAGCATTCTAGGCCCAAACAGAATTCAATATCAATCACAAAATCGAAGTAAGAAAGATAAATGCATGTTTAACAAACAAAATTGGTAGACAGGAGTATTTTCAGCCTTCAAGTATTTTAAATGTTTCGACAAATGTTAAATTCCAAGTGGTGAAGAAATCATGAGGCATCCACCCAACATTGCATACATGTTACCAGCAAAGATTATGAATTTTGCGTAAAGGTCTTCCATTTGAGAGGATAATTATTAACATTGCCAAGGAAAATCTCCATATTTCCTGTTATAACATAATGATTAACAAGGTATTGAGAAAACACATCAAGTGTCAACACGACAAACAGCATTACTGGAGGCGAATATATTGTTTTACTTATGAGAGAAAAGATTCACGTCTATAATCACATTAATGACCATAGAAATCATCACCTTGCTGATTGGTATCTCCTTTGCCTCTTCAACCTTCAGGTCTACAGAAAAATTGCTCATATCTGCAAGGACACCATTGACCTTAAGGGTCTCCGGGAATGTTCCATGGTATCTGCCGGACACAATCAACGGGCTTTCAGATGAAAGATCTGGAATTTGAGTAGGAAACACCTAACAGGAACATTAACCATCTGTCAGAAAGGAGGTCGACCTTCACAAGCACATAAGAAAAACTAATTGAGATCAGATGGTATCCTATCATGTCACTTTCTTGGAAACAATTAGAAAGGACTCACAGCATTGCACGAGCAATGGAGATGGGGGTGCCATTCATGTTTAGTAAATTGAAATAAGGTGATGAAGACAACTAAAAGTACCTCAAGATCATCAAGGTTACTGAGATTTTCAAATGCAATATTTGCAATAAATATAGATGATGCTCTGGCAAATAGTCCTCCTATGCGAACCTCAATGGAATCTGCAAAGATAGGAACAAATTAGACAAGGGACTTGAATAGACTAAGAGAACTATCCAGAAACTCAGTTAGATGATTAGCAGTTCAATTTTCTTATACACTTCAAATGTAGAAAGGATGGCATTATACCTAGAATAAACCCTCAAATAAGTTGAAGAAACCAAACCAGCATATGTCTATCTACCGATAGAGGTTACTCCATAGACAAAACTCAAAATCACAGATTTTCATCAAGACTAGCGTGCTTGCCTCATAAGTTATTATGAAAGCATCTCCTTGGAAAGAACAAGAATTAAACATACCATAATATTTGCATCCACCAAAGTATTCCAGGAAGATCCCATTTAATGCATTCAACAAAAGAAGGATGACTTACCCACATCACTAGCAACATCATGTTGCCCCCGGCCAATCATTGCAAGCATCCGCAGAAAATAATGGTTACAGAAAGTACCTAAAATTTCAAAGAAGCTGTTACAAATGAAAAGAAATGTAACAGTTGCAGCTATGAGGAAGGCATGAGGCCACAAGAGGATCCAATTTCATATTTTTCAAATGCTGCATTTGGGTTGGATCTAATACTACCTAAATCCTGGCAGGTCAGGTAAAATTCAAGCTTATGCTTATTGAGATTCTCAATATCAAGGACCTACAGCAATCGAGAGCAGTAGATCACCATCCTTGATAGCCAGAGTGGTAAAATATTTTTTACTTTCTTCCTTTCCAGGATAACATAAAATGTCATTTGATGTATTAAGTGCCTTCTTTTTAAATTAATTAAACCCAAAGCTGATGGAGCAGAAACTAACTGATCGGTCACATTCTTCACCAGATTAGAAGATCAGAGAGATGCTGTTTTAACAGCTCGAGGCCTGAAAAGATGAACTTACTTAAGTAGATCGTGCGGGCACTGGGCACCTTAAGACTTTTGCATCTAAGTATATGAGGGAGTAGCCAGAAAAATTGAACCGGTATCCCCCATCACTCAACTTCGAAAATCACATACAGAACTGTACTGAACAACATTTGTTCTTCGCGTGATCATGAAAACTTTGGGTCTTATCTAGCATAATTACTAGAATGATAATAAATTTTAAGTAGATTACCCTACATTTGATTCTCTACCTCCAATAGTGTTAGCCATCTTCGACAAATTTGAATAACAAACATATATAGTATACATACCTATGCCCAGTGTGTATATTCTTGGACTAACATTCTTTTGGCTTGTTAACAGGCTTTTCACAGTACCACAAATGTGTCTCTCATCTTCCACAGCTCCATCAGTAATAAGGAGAACAATAGGAATTGAGTTGCTACTATCAGATAACATCTTAATGGCCTGAAAAGTAAAAGAAATTACGTTAGAGCTGCCACAATATAGCATCTAGGGTCCATTTCAACCAAAAGAGAAAAGGTAGAAAAAGCTGAAAGGACCAAAGTTCTTAGTTCATTATACACACACAAACAAAAAATAAATAAAAAATAAAAAAAGTTGATTATTAGCAGTTTCAAGACCATATTTTCAGAAACACTAATGGGCTTCAACTGTTTTCAACTGTTGTTATCTTTTCTGTTTTCTGGAAAGTTGACTGGTACAAGTGACAGGAAAATCGACTAGTTCACAACGCACAAACAACAAGTTACTGAAAATCTTTTGTTACGCTGAATGTGAGAAAACCTAAAGGAGGCCATTTATAACGACTTTCTGAACACTAAGCCGGCTAATGCATGTAAAATCTCTCAAACATTCCTACAAAAGGATGGATGTGTCAAATATATCAAGGCCCAAGCTTATAAGACCCAGGAATAACACTATACATATGATCATTCATATCAAAGGAAGACATCAACTCACAATAACCTAGGTTTGTAACATGGTATCAGAGCAACCTCATGAGTAATATGACAAGATGGCACATCAGCCGTCTAGATAAAAGTACCATCACATGACCGACCTGCAGGCAACCAACTGGCACTGTACAGACGTCACAAGGAATGATGCCCCCAAAATCGAGATCCCAAGGCTAAGGAGCATTGACAGTAAAAGCGGCAGTGGTGGCAGCAGCAACAGATACAAACCCTTTCTTTTGTAGCAGGAGCCACACCACAAGTCGCACTATGTGCACCGTACTTAGGCAATTATTTGGATGCTGAGAAAAACAATATTCGGCATTCTGACTTGTCTTCCCGCGATGCTAAGGAGTTTGAAGATCCACCTTTTAGTGCACATGCTGAGAATGGTGTGGCGGAAAGAAAACACCGCCATTTTATTGAGACTACTCGAACCATTCTCATTGCCTCTTTTGTTCCTGGTGAGGTACTCTTAGTCATCCCCTAGCTATGATCATCTTCAGGTTTTCGGATGTACATGCTTTGTGTTACTTGCTCCTCGTGAGCGCACTAAACTGATTAGTCAGTCGGTTGAGTACCTCTTTGCGGGGTATAGTCCTGAGTATAAGGGTTATTGTTGTTATGATTCTTTCGCGGTCACAGGTGTATATCTCGTCATGTAACCTTTGTCGAGGATCGTCCATTCTTTTATAATAACTCTTCGGCACATCTCACATGTTCTTCTCGTCATGTAACCTTTGTCGAGGATCGTCCATTCTTTGAGGAGCTTGCTGCACTTGGACGTACCAAAACTTGGGATTCTGTTCCGTTACTGTCGCATGTTGTATTTATCACTTGTAAGTGGGTCTTTGAGGTTAGACGAAATCAGATGGTTCTGTTGAGATATAAAGTTCGTCTTGTTGCTAGAGGCTTTCGATTGACTCGGGACGAGATTATGATGAGATTTTTGCTCCTATTGCTCACATGACCATTATCCCATTAAGGTGGCTGCTACTCATTCATGGACTATATCATAAATGGATGTGAAGAATGTTTTTCTTCATGGTGATTGCTATGAAGTTTGTATGCAACCACCACTGGGTGTTGATTCCCTCTCCGGACATTTCTATCGTATTTTGTTTGTCCCATTTTTGTTGCGTTTTTCCTTATTCTTTTGATTGGTCTTTAGTTCGTTTTGTAGTTTATTTCGTGGTTTGCTCTATGTTGGTCCTTGTGTTTTTCGGTCGTTTTCCAATTTTTCTTCGTCTGTGGTGTGCAGGTTAGAAGATTTACTTTCATGATAAATGGATGGGTGAACATGGAAGAGAGCACTTCGTTGGCAACACAAGAAAAAGCAAAATCGAATTCTGATACCAGACGAGCCCGAACGACTCCGAAATGTAAAGTCAACCAAGCACCCTCTCCACGCCGTGACACCCGCCACGAGGGCCTTCAGAGCGAGCCTTCCCAGCCGTCGTGCCGCGGAGACCTTCACGACGCTGTACCATACTGCTCCACTCCTCGACCAATCCAGCACGCCGCGGCAGAGTCACCGGCACCACCACCCATCGCTGACCACCACCACCACCCATCGCTGACCACCGGCGACCTCAAACCGGCGCACCTCCGGCGGCTCTCAACTCCGGCGACTTCATCTTCTGCGGTCATCTTTCCACCGTGACACAAGTGCTCCGAAACTCAAGTTTTTTCCCATAAAAATCTTAAAATCCGGCCACTCTCGACGTGTAAAGGTACAACAGCTATCTCTATCCTCAATTGGTTGATTGGTGGAGACGTTCTTGGTTCAAGCCTTTCAAAACTTCTCAAACCACATTCTCGCCCACCAAGTGCTCGATAAATTGCCGCAATCGAGTAAGAGAGCCGTACTGCTTGATTTCGTTTCTTCCAATCATAGAGTCCCCTCAGCCGAACATGAGGAAATGTTCTTCGTCAAAAGCAGCATTAAAGGCCCCACCGAAAACCAGGAGCCAAGCGAAAAATAAAGTTGTCATTGCGACTCCGCCCGCGTCCTCGGCTAGTTCACCACTCTAATTCCGACTCGGGAGAGGAAACTCCCAATATGGCACAGACCACGGCGTCCCGTTTCCAGTTTTTAATGACGACGAAGTAGCCACTTGTAAATGACTTGCAAAAAAGTCATTCCCGCGACCTCGAGTTCTTGATTGGGAGGTACTGAAGAGACTTAAAATCGACGAAGAAGTCCGTAATTACTTGAAGATCCTTCATTTGGAGAAATGCGGACGAGACGAGTTTAACCTCCTACAAGTCACTTACCCTCGAATGCATTAGCACGATCGAAATGCACGACAAGGGCAACTACCTCACTTGTCGCTTGAAGGGGCAGGAGGTCAAAATGGCAGATAAGGTCCTCTGCAAGATCTTCGGTTTGAGAACAACGGGTCAACGCTTAAGCCAGAAAATTTCAGAACTAACAGGCATTGGTCCTCCTTATCGCCCTGCAAATTTTTCAAAGGTTCCGGACCATCAGCGGGTCTAATCAAGGAGGTAACAATTGCCATCGTGCATAAGTTCCTCTCTTTCAATATCTTCGGGAAGACAGAGTCGAACAAGGTGAGCGAAGACAGAGGCGAACAAGGTGAGCGAACAAGAGGTGTTCATTCTATGGGCTATGTCCGAGAAACATTCTGTGTGCCTCCTACAGTTCTTCAAACAAGCCCTTGTAAACATACGGAAGAAAACAGTGAGCCAACCTACCTTAGGGCACGTGGCGACGGAGCTCGCCATTCATTTCAAAATTCCCCTCATTCCTGCGGAAGGCATTGATGTTGCAGAAATCAACTGGTCCGACCTTCGGCATGCCGGTTTTGTTGACAATACCCAAGCTTAAACATTATGCTGAAAGAAATGCTTACCTGAAGGAGTTGCAAGCGATGGAGGCGAAGGAAAAAGCAGCAGGGGAGGCTCGTCTCGACAGACCACCGGAGACCCGCCTCAACCAGCTACAACAAAAAATATCGAGCAGCACTTGGAAGACGAGGAACAGCCTGTCCAGACGGATTGATTATTACAGACAAGCATCTCCTCATGGCATCCCAGACGCACTAACCCAGCAGGCACCTACGTGGTTCGTGGAGTATCTGACGTTTATGAGTATCAGGATGAGTACATGCGAACTATCCAGGCAGAGGTTAGCTCGCACAACGTGCGGGTGGAGGCCTACATTACTCAAAATGACAAACGTTGGGACCAGTGCGAAGCGAAGCATGAGGCTCGTTGGGAGAAATGAGAAGAGAAGCAGTATGCTAAGTGGAGCGAATGGGACGACCAGTTTCGTCAGTGGGACACTCACTGGAGTTCGGGTTCCAGTCAGCCTTCTTTACCTCCACCGCCAACGTCGGACGCACACTGACTTATCACTGTGCTTTGTACGTTTTTCTTTCTCTTTCTCTTTTATTTTGTACAGTTTCTTTACTTGTTGAGTAGGTTAACTATGTGGTCTAACTCTCTTTCACCTAAAATCAGACAATGTCCCCACTGTCAATTCGCGGTGAAAGAGAGTTAGACCACATAATTAACCGACTCGACAAACAAAGAAACTGTACAAAATAAAAGAGAAAGAGAAAGAAAAACGTACAAAGCACAGTGACAAGTCACTGTCTCGAGCGGCACTTGGAAGACGAGGAACAGCCTGTCCGGACGGATTATTACAGACCAAAATCTCCTCATGGCATCCCAGACGCACTCACCTACGTGGTTCGTGGAGTATCAGAAACGTCAGGATGAGTATCAGACACGACAGGATGAGTACATGCGGACCATCCAGACAGAGGTTAGCTCGCACAATACGCGGGTGGAGGCCTACATTACTCAGAATGACAAACGTTGGGACCAGTGGGAAGCGAAGCATGAGAAGCATGAGGCTCGTTGGGAGAAATGGGAAGAGAAACAGTATGCTAAGTGGAGCGAATGGGACGACCAGTTTCATCAGTGGGACACTCGCTGGAGTTCGGGTTCCAGTCAGCCCTCTTTACCTCCACCGCCACTGTCGGCACAGTGACTTGTCACAGTGCTTTGTACGTTTTTCTTTCTCTTTCTCTTTTATTTTGTACAGTTTCTTTGTTTGTCGAGTCGGTTAATTATGTGGTCTAACTCTCTTTCACCGCGAATTGACAGTGGGGACATTGTCTGATTTTAGGTGAAAGAGAGTTAGACCACATAACTAACCTACTCAACAAGTAAAGAAACTGTACAAAATAAAAGAGAAAGAGAAAGAAAAACGTACAAAGCACAGTGACAAGTCAGTGTGCGTCCGACGTTGGCGGTGGAGGTAAAGAAGGCTGACTGGAACCCGAACTCCAGTGAGTGTCCCACTGACGAAACTGGTCGTCCCATTCGCTCCACTTAGCATACTGCTTCTCTTCTCATTTCTCCCAACGAGCCTCATGCTTCGCTTCGCACTGGTCCCAACGTTTGTCGTTCTGAGTAATGTAGGCCTCCACCCGCACGTTGTGCGAGCTAACCTCTGCCTGGATAGTCCGCATGTACTCATCCTGATACTCATAAACGTCAGATACTCCACGAACCACGTAGGTGCCTGCTGGGTTAGTGCGTCTAGGATGCCATGAGGAGATGCTTGTCTGTAATAATCAATCCGTCAGGACAGGCTGTTCCTCGTCTTCCAAGTGCTGCTCGATATTTTTTGTTGTAGCTGGTTGAGGAGGGTCTCCGGTGGTCTGTTGAGACGAGCCTCCCCTGCTGCTTTTTCCTTCGCCTCCATCGCTTGCAACTCCTTCAGGTAAGCAGCGTAGCATGGGCGTTCAGCATAATGTTTAAGCTTGGGTATTGTCGACAAAACCGGCATGCCGAAGGTCGGACCAGCTGATTTCTGCAACATCAATGCCTTCCGCAGGAATGAGGGAAATTTTCAAATGAATGGCGAGCTCTGTCGCCACGTGCCCTAAGGTAGGGTGGCTCACTGTGTTCTTCTGTTCTTCTGTATATCCATCCACAAGGGCTTGTTTGAAGAACTGTAGGAGGCACACAGAATGTTTCTCGGACATAGCCCATAGAATGAACACCTCTTGTTCGCTCACCTTGTTCGACTCTGTCTTCCCAAATATATTAAAAGAGAGGAACTTATGCACGATGGCAATTGGTACCTCTTTGATTAGACCCGCTGATGGTCCGGAACCCTTGAAATTTTTGCAGGGCGATAAGGAGGCCCAATGCCTATTAGTTTTAAAATATTCGGGCTTAAGGCGTTGACCCGTAGTCCTCAAATCGAAGATCTCGCAGAGGGCCTTATTTGTGATTTTGACCTCCTGCCCCTTCAAATGACAAGTGAGGTAGTTTCCCTTGTCGTGCATTTCAATCGTGCCTAAGCATTCGAGGGTAAGTGACTTGTAGGAGGTTAAACTCGTCTTGTTTGCATATTTCTCCAAATGAAGGATCTTCAAGTAATTACAGACTTCTTCGTCGATTTTAAGTTTCTTCAGTACCTCCCAGTCGAGAACTCGAGGTCGCGGGAATGGCTTTTCTGCAAGTCGTTTATAAGTGGCTACTTCGTCGTCATTAAAAACTGGAAACGAGACGCCGTGGGTCTGTGCCAAATTAGGAGTTTCCTCCCCCGAGTCGAAATCAGAGTAGTGTGAACTAGCCGAGGACTCGGGCGAAGTCGCGATGACAACTTTATTTTTCTCTTGGCTCCTTGTTTTCGGCGGGGCCTTTGATGCCGCTTTTGACGAAGAACCTTTCCTCATGTTCGGCTGATGGGACTCTACGATTGGAAGAAACGAAATCAAGCAGCTCTTTTACTCGATTGCGGCAATTTATCGAACACTTGGTGGGCGAGAATGTGGCTTGAGAAGTTTTGAAAGGCTTTAACCAAGAACGTCGCCACCAATTAACTAATCGAGGATAGAGATAGCCGTTGTACCTTTACACGTCAAGAGTGGCCGGATTTTAAGATTTTTACCGGAAAAAATTTGAGTTTCGGAGCACTTGTGTCACGGTGGAAAGACGACCGGAGAAGACGAAGTCGCCGGAGTAAAGAGCTGCTGGAGGTGCGCCGGTTTGAGGTTGCCGGTGGTCGCTGATGGTCGGCGACAAGTGGTTGTCCCGATGACTTTGTCGCGGTTGCTGGATTGGTCGCGGCGTGGAGCAGTATGGTACCGCGTCGTGAAGGTCTCCGCGGCGCGACGGCTGGGAAGGCTCGCTCTGAAGGCCCTCGTGGCGGGTGTCACGGCGTGGAGAGGGCGCGGAGCCTAGGCTGCTTGCTTGGACTACTTGGGTGACTTTACATTTCGGAGTCGTTCGGGCTCGTCTGGTATCGGAATTCGATTTTGCTTTTTCCTGTGTGTTGCCAACGAAGTGCTCTCTTTAATCATGTTCACCCGGTCCATTTATCATGGAAAGTAAATCCTCTCGAATCTTCTAACCTGCACACTACAGACGAAGAAAAACCAGAAAACGATCGAAAAACACAAGAAGGACCAATCAAAAGACCTAAAATAGGGGAAAAAGAAAAAAAAAATAACAAGGAAAAACGCAACAAAAATGGGACAAACATTTTCGCCGCGCCTTATATCGTTTTAAACAGGCTCCATGTGCTTGGTTTGAGCGCTTTGCCTTGGTCATACAGACTACTAGTTTTTTCCCTAGTGATCCTGCCTTGTTTATTCATCTCTCCACGTGGATGTACTCTACTTCTTTTATACGTTGATGATATGTTGATTACGGGAGATGATGAAGAACCTTTCTCATGTCAAGAAACATCTTGGTGAGCAATTTTCAAATGTCCAATTGGGTCCTCTAAGCTACTTCGGCATTGAGGTGATGCACTCTGACTCGAGCTATTATATTTCTTAAGTGAAACTTCACTTGCAGCTTTGTCCTACTAATGGTACACCAATTGAGGATCCCTCTCGATATCTACATATTTTGAGCAGTCTGGTTTATATTACTGTCACCATGTTTGACATTGCTTATGATGTTCATTTATTGAGTCAGTTTGTCAGTGCTCGTCGTACTTTAGATCATTTTGGACATTTACTTTGTTTGTTACGGTATTTAAGGGGCAAATCATCTCAGTGTTTTTCTATGCTCGTGATAGTCCATTTCAGCTTCATGCTTACTCGGACTCTACTTAGGCTAGTAATTCAACATATCGTTGTTCTCTCACTGGGTATTTATTGAATTTCTATTGGTTCTCTTCTTACATGGAAGTCCAAGAACCAGGCCCTTGTATTGCTAGTGTAGACATATCTATTATTATTATTATTATTATTATTATTATTATTATTATAATAATAATAAAATTATTATTATTATTATTATTATTATTATTATTATTATAAAATTATTACTATTATTATTATTAGATATCTTGGAGAATAAATTAGGAATTGTTTAATATTTAATAAGTATTCTTGTCTTATTAATAATTATTATAATAATTGTTTAATATTTAATAAGAGTTAGGAATTATATAAAGGACTCTCCTGCTTTAATGTTACTTGGTGAATTTTGAGATTAAATCAGATATTGTGAGTTTTATGTGTTTTACGAGAGAGTATCTCATTTATCTTTCCCACTCGTACGCTCCCCTACATCAGTTGGTATCAGAACTCAGCACGATTCACGATGTTGTCGCGACGACAAGATGCTGCAAACGACAGGCGTGTCGCCGCCATCTACAACCTGAGACGCGGACCGAGTGGTTTGTCCGCCAGCTCGAGACGATGGGTCGTGAGATTGCAGATTTGTCCGCGGAGATCGGGGACATACGTCTAACTATCCGTATCATGGTTCGGGGCAAGCAAACGTACCGTGACGTCGGCAACCGGGGCGTGCGCGGGGGATTTCACGGAGGAAGTGGAGGTCGTGGTCCAAGCGGGGCGCCCCGCCGGGGATCTCCACAACCACCGTCCGGCGACGAAGACGGCGAGGAGGCAATCTTGGAGGTAAATCCCTTCGGCAATTATCCACCTCCGCACGTTGAGGCTGACCCCTTCGCTGCATACAGCGGCCGTGACATGTGGCGACGGGGCCAGGTTGTAGCGCCCCGTTTATTTATGGATAATTTTAGGATTATTTATTATTATTTATTAATATTATGATTATTACTTATTGTTTGTTATTATTATTATTGTTGTTATTATTATTATTATTATTATTATTATTATTATTAGATGCCTAATTATCTTTAAATGCCTAAATGTTTATTATTATTATTATATTACTGTGTGTATTATATATATAAATATTATCCTAATTTTATTTTAATTGTCGTGCGCAATTGAGCTAGTTTTATTGTTGGATAAATCGATCCCGAGAACCCAAAAATCGAGCCTTATTATTTTCGGCCCATAAGAGCTAAATAATTCGGCCTTTTGTTCAAGTATTTCTGGCCCGTTAAAGCCCCATGAACCTTGGTGACCCAACCCGTTTCTTAATTAATTTGGAGGTCAACTAAATTTTTCTCCTAAGTTTTTGGACGCCCCAAACCCTTCTCCTTCATTTTTTTTTTTCACACGGCCGCAACCCCTCTGTCTCTATCTCAATCTCGTCAACCACGCCGTCGTCCCTATCTATCTCCCTCTCGCTCGATCCGGTCACCTCACCTTCATCTCCGATTGCATCATCACCAGACGCCTCATCTCGTCGAGAAAACCAGTCACCGCCCTTCGCTAGTTCACTATCGCGTTCCATCGCAAGAAGGAGCAACAACTCGATCGCCGCCGACCCTCATCCGCGCGACGCCGCCACGAACCAGCAAAAGCCGCCGGCGAGCCCTTCTTCCCCCGCGAACAACCGGCGACCATTTCTGGTGAGCCCCTGTCCACACGCAACTCCTCGCCGGGAACCAGCGAAGTCCCGACGACCCCTCCTCTGCGAGCCGCCGTCCTCAGCCGCGGCCCTCCGCCGCAGCAGCTGCCTTGTCCAGTTGCTTCCTCTCGCGAACGAGCTTATCCGTGACCAGGAGCCCAGCGTTCATCCCACGCACGTCGCTGCCCCTCGACCACCGTTCAGCACCACTGTGAACCAGCAGCGAGTCACCGTGCTCGACCATTGCTCCGTTGTCCGCTTGCTTCGCCATCGCGAGACGAGCGTCTGCCGTCGAGCCCGAGAAACGCTGCGCAGCACCTCCCGAGCCACCGTGCGTTTGTCGTTCGTTCCCTCCGTACGAGCAGTGAACTCTGGCGGCGACCTAGCAGCAGCAAACCCCTTCTCAGCCGTTGTCTCCTTCGCGAGACGACGCTTGCCGTCGAGCTTGCCGCTAGCTCGCCTCGTCTTTCCGTTCCGTTTTCCGAATTCCCGAGAACGGTACCTAGTTGTTTCCGTCTCGTTTAAATCGTTTATGTTATTTATGAATATGTGTGATTTGCAATTTGATATGAGAGATGTGTATATTGTGCGATTGTGTTCGGTATGATATTTGGTGATAGATATGATTTTATGTGTCGTTTATGTTGTTCGGGATCTCTTCAATTATGAGAAATTGAACGAGACCTCGAAAGTCGTGTAAGTCAGTGGATATTGGAACGATGTCGAGTCCTTGGCCTTATGGAAAGGCCTCGGACGAGAAATTACGTGTGTTCAATTAATCGTTAAATTGTCGAGCTTGATTGTCGCTGTTTTGGTGTTTGAATTTTTAAAAATAGCTCGCTGCTCGGAATGACTTGAAATTTTGAGAGATATGTTATCTGTTCATTTCCAGCCTTGTGTAAAAATTTCGTAATTTTTAGAGGCCTGTAGCTATTTTTAATAATTAAAGTGAATTCTGATCAGAATAGTATTTAATGCTTAATAAATTGGTTCGTGATTCAAATGAGCTGAAATTTTGATATATTTTGCCTCTGATGTGTTATATGCTGTGTTAAATTTTTAGAATTTTTGGAGTAAATTTGATATGGTTAATAATTTAATTTCTGTTTCTGCTGAAAACTTTATGAATTACTATAAATCGATTTGTTCATGAAAAATTTTGAAACTTGGCTGAGATGTTTATTTTTGGTGTATATTCATGCTGTTAAAAGATGAAAATTTTTGGAGTTCATTTTAGTGCTGTTTTGATTTAAATTCGATAATTGCTGAATCTTGTGTGAATTTTTAAAAATAGCACATTTAATGTCCAGGGCTGATATTTTTACATGTTGTCCCTATGATGTTGTAGCTTGTTGTGTTAAATTTTCAAGTCCTGAATTGTTCATTTGGTTCAGATATGAATTCAGTTGTGTTTTTGCTGATTTCTTTTAGGAATTTTATGAATTAATGTGCTTTGAGTTTAAAGCTGAAAATTTATGGTTTTACTTATTACTGCGAGGTGTAATTTTGTGTAAAATCTCAGAGCCTAGGTCGTAGGGTAGCCTGACCATCTATTTTCATGTGATTAATGATTAATATTTTCGAAACATGATTTTGAAATAAAAGTTGGGAATCGACTTGCTTTTCGTTTTGATGTGAATTTGACTTGGTCAATCCTTAGATGGATTTATGTGAACTCCCATATGTGGTTTGGTCGAGTTTAGTGCCGAGTCTTAGTGTTCCAACATCCACAGGACTTCACGAACTACTTAGTCGAAACAAGTTCGACTAGGTCTGTTTTGTGTTTTCCGTTTAAAGTCAAGATAGATGTTGATTGTAGCATCTTGACTCAATGTAGGTGATTGAGGAGTCCAGCCTCGACCTACTCCCATTGCTTTGAGTTATTATCAATCCGGAATCCAGGTGGGTTATTCTAAAATTATCTATGCATATGTGTGATTTAAATTGTGATGAAAGTTTGGTGTGATCTATGTATGAAAATGAATATGTAGCCTATCGATGTGAGCTTGATGGCCGTCGATACGGTTGTCCCCGTATGATAAGATACGGTTACCCTGTGAGGTAAATCTCATAAGACCTATGAGAAGGCCGTGTCATTGATGTGGCACGCACTCCCATGTTTCACTGATATGGCATGGCTTAGCTTTGATGAGCATAGATGTACATGAGTGAGTCTTTGATGAGACTATAGTCATTGATGTGGCTAGAAATGTGACATGATTTTATTGTTTATGTTCATGCTGCGACCATACCATTATAATGTTATTCATATGCATAGCGTGAGTACGGTAGTTAACTGTACTCACTCCCCACCTGCTCGTAACTGATGCAGGTTAAGCAGTTGGTGGGTGACGAGACAAGACGGGTGGTGGTCATGCTTTTATTTATTGCTTATTTATTTGCTTCCGCTCATTTAAGGAACTCATGTTGAGATATTTTGATTATGTCGTTTTGAACTTGGAGTTATGAATTATCTTTATGATTTGGAACTTAATGAATGTTAGTTTGGTTATGACTTATTATTCGTGCATGCTGTCTGTATCTGATATTTTGGCATTTTCGGATAAAAGTTTTTGGTTAAATAAGTAGCGCCCACTAAGTTTTTAATTAAATTGAGATTTGCGAAAATTTATTGTGATTTTTATTAAATAAAAACGGTAAACCTTTTAAAATAAAGTGGGGCGTTACACATGTCTTCGTGGACGGCGACGATCAATGCGACGACAGAGGCAGGCGTGGAGGCTGCCCTTGCCGGCAGATATCGTGCCCAACACGATTGGGAATGTGATCGAGAATATGGCCGATGGGAAGGCTCGTTTCGCCTTTGACATCCCCGAATTCGACGAAGAGCAAGTTGACGGGTCATTCTACGATGGTCCGTCGGTGTTTAATGAAGGAGTCGAGGAAGTGGAAGAGAGTCTTACCGGCGAAGTGGACGGTCTCTACGACGGTCCGCCGATTTTCGATGAGGAGCCTCCAGGGCCGGAGGAATTTCATCATGTTCCGAGTATCGAAATTCAGCTGTTGGAAGAATTGGTAGTTCTTCTGTTGTGCAGGTCCGAGCTTTACTCTCATGGAAATTTGTTGCGGCCTTGCAAACATATGCTGTTTTTTGGTCCCCACGGTGACTTCAAAATTATGTGTGTGGCTGCTGCATATATGCCTTTCCATGAATTTCAAGGGGATGATACCATGGAAGTGCGACATTCAACCTTCGTGTTCGACAGAGGAAAATGACGGGGATTAATACCATGGGTTCGCCTCCACACCAGCCACGGGAGTGCGTCGACTTCGAGGGCAAAACCTTCTGAACCGGGGGAGAATGGTGTAGACATATCTATTATTATTATTATTATTATTATTATTATTATTATTATTATTATTATTATTATTATTAGATATCTTGGAGAATAAGTTAGGAATTGTTTAATATTTAATAAGAGTTCTTGTCTTGTTGGACAAGTTAGGTCTAGGGTTAGGAGCCTTATATAAAGGACTCTCCTGCTTTATTGTTACTTGGTGAATTTTGAGATTGAATCAGATATTGTGAGTTTTGTGTGTTTTACGAGAGAGTATCTCGTTTATCCTTTCCATTCGTACGCTTCCCTACATCAATTGTGCTCAAGCATAGAGGCAGAACTCCGAACACTTTCCACTTCCACATCATAAACTATATGACTTCGGTGGTTGTTAGCTGATTTTGGTATTCCATGTAATGCTCCTACAACTCTTCTTCTTTGTGATAATATTGTAGCCATACAAATTGTGTGAAGCATGAGCTTACAAAACACATTGGTATCGGTGTTTCTTTTACCTGGTCTCATTGTCATCAGAAAACAATTGTTTTTCAGTATGTGCCCTAGAACTGCAAGTGACATACTCTTTTCCTCAAAGCACAAACTAGAGAACAACATCGGCTTTCCTCCACCTCCACCTTGAGTTTGAATGGCGTGTTAAGCATATTAAGGCCTAGGCTTATAAGGACCAGGAATAACTCTATATATAGTCAAGGAAAACATCAACTCAGAAAACCCTTCTGACCCTAAGTTTGTAACAGGATACATATAAATTGCAACTCTTATTAAGTTTGTAACAGGATGCACATAAAATGCCCTCTTATAAAATAATTCGGCTGTTATTGTAACAGGATGCACATAAAAAGCCCTTTTATAAAATAATTCAGCAGTTTGTAACAGGATGCACATAAAATGCCCTCGTATAAAATAATTCAGCTGAGGTGAGGAAAATGATTGGAAATACAGGAACATCCTTGTGTTTCAGCCAATCCATATCACCCTTTCATACATTAACCCTATAGGAAGTGAGATCAACACCTAGTCATATTCATACATTTCCAAGTGAAAGAACATCCTTGTGTTGATTGTTTAAGCCAACCCATATTACACTTTCATATATTGAACCCTATGTGAAGTGAGATCAACACCTAGTCATATTCATACATTTCCAAGTGACCATATATGCAGATAAGAAACTAGAAGAAGTATTAATTCCTAACTACTACTGCAGGAACCACAAATAAGTTACAAATAGTTACATGACTGCAAATTGTCATTCCCCCGTGAAGTTATTCGACAGAGTAGCAGTATCGTAGGTTGTAACAAGTAGACATGATACCCACTACCGCTAACATCAATGCTTTTTTATCCACAATACAATGATATATCGACCATGGGGAATATCATCTATGATTATTGAGAAAACTTCCAATGTCATTGGAATATGAGGATCCAAAATCACTGCTGGGACAGGGACAGGGACATGGAAAGGGAAAGGGACAGGGACAGGGACACAAATAATCTGAAGTCGACAGATCCAAAAGTTGAAGCATTCTTAGTACGTGATTGAAAATTCATTGGGATAGTTTTGAGGAATTGTGATTGGGAAAGATTCTGAAATGAGTATATTGGTTCAGAGATGCATTGGGAAGCTTAAAAGTAGTATTTGGTAGGTGAATAGGGACTGTTGGTGTGAAGGAGAGGTAAAAGAACAACAACAACAACTAAGCTCCAACTGCCTTTCTAGTGGATGACAAATAATTGACACGAGGAGGATTCATATAATGAGTCAGAAAAAACAAAAAATAAAATAAAATACCTGATTTAGAGGAAGCAGAATATTTGTGCCTCCACCAGCTACAAAGTTCATATTGATCCACTGAGTGACATTTTCAATAGCTTTGGCAGTTGCTGCTTCCATGGATGATGAAAATAAGTATGTTTCTCCATTGAATGCAATTACGTTAAAGAAGTCTTTGGAATCAAGCTTGGCAATTGCTGAAAATAAGGCATTTTTGGTATCTTCAAGTAGTTCGCCCTTCATGCTTCCACTTATATCAACAACAAACACCACTTGTCTCCTGAAAACCTTTACACACGTATATAAAAAGAGAATTGAGCCAAAACTAACACAAAAGCAGATTAAAAACAGAAAACTTCTAGTTTATGGCAACATAACATGTTCGGTTGATGGATATTTTGAGCATTCAAATTTTATTTCTTCTTAAACAGGTGATATATTATGCAACAATTACAACCAAATTTAAGAATCCAGTAACAATCATGGCACGACTGGATTCTCAATTTACCTTTATACTCTGCTGCTTTCCCGGGAAAAGGTAGCAACAGAACATATTTCTACGATCTACATCATGTACCATTGAAGGATTCAATAGTACACCACCATTAGTATGACTTGAAGATACCTGAAAACAACAATAGGCACGGTAAATAGGTTTACTTCTTCAGACCAAGTCTAGAACACCTTTCCAGCATACAACATGCATCTGCAATAATTTAAATTATTTGGATTTGTCGCGTGATTTTCCCTTTTCTTCTCCTTTTCCTTCTCGGTGTCACAGAGTTTCAGCAGATAATAGAAAGTATCCGAACAAAATCTTACATTATATGTGACCACAAAATCAACGTTTGACCATGAAAGGACTTCAGATTCATATAAGAAGCCCAGCTTTCCTGCTTGTCGCTGTCGTTCCTTAGTTGTCCAAAGAAAAAAAAAATGTAAAGTCAGCATTCTTACTTAATCTATGATGACCACCATCAGAACCAGAATTAAAAGTACCTTTAAAGGGTGAGAAGTTGTTCTGAACAGAACTTCTGTACCAGGACCAGCATTAACATTCAACTGTATCTTTTCCCGTTTAGAGATTTTCTTTGCAGCTGGAGTTACATACTCGGGGAAGCTAAATGGAATGTTCAAGGTCAATTCTCCATCATGATACAGTAACTTTTGAGACCATCTCAGTTTAACCGATACATTGGTTCCTCCATCAATCTGAAAGCATAATTAGGATATTCAGCAGAGATAAGATATGTGACTTTACAAAAACACCAAAAGCAATGAAAATACGAAAGATAGGAAATGTGAGCTTGCCTGTGGAATCTTGAGAGTGTATATATGAGATTTCAAGAATCCTCCATCTTCAGTTTTTGTGGTCTTTTCCGTTCCTTTTTCATTCTCCACGGCAACAAGTTCAGTGCTATATATTGTTGTGGGTAACTCAACCTCAACACCTAGAATTGAACCCTGTTAGCCAAATAATACGCACTTGAGAATCAAAAGATCATCAAATCAGTTTGTGCAATAAAGGATTGAGATATAGTGTGATTCACAACAACAATATGATAAGAGTATAATACAACCATATTCATTGTGAATGTGCAAAGTAGCGTTGTTGAAGCCAACAATGTCTAGATGATAATACTAAACTTAGCTCATACATTCACTTGAAGAGAGCAACAATAGCTCTTCTATAAAATTGAGTAAAATGAATTCACAATGAAAAATTGTCTCTCCTTCTATATGAAATCTCTTAAAGTTTCCTATTCTCTTGAAGCAAGTCCATTCCAAGTTGACCAACATTATGTGCTTCGCTCAACACGGATTACCAAACAAACAGATAAAAACAAAATGATAGATTCTATAATCAAGACAAAATAAGAGAAACTATGACCTGAATAAGAACAATTCCAAAGATGAATTAACAGATTTGCTTCACTTGAATATACCTTAGGCAAATTCAAGATAAAAGGACGACTGAAATAGTCAATAGAGAAACACCACTTTTTCCATATGGCTATTTAACCACAACACACACCTAATCTTAGCCACTAAAACAAAAGCGGCAAAACAAAAGCTCAAAACACGTCAAGCAAAATAGAAAAGTCTCAGATTTTTCCACAACCGAAAATAAAAAGAACAAAAAAAGAGGGATTATTTTTTTTAAAAACATTCACTTCAACCTACCTGTTCGCCCATGGGAACTGCGAGACGGCAATCACAACTGCGGCTGCCCATGACACAGTGCACGCGCCACGTGCCGCTCAGCGTGACAAAGGCTGTGTCCAGGAAGCAATCGACCTCGAGCGAGACCCCATTCATCTGGAGCGGGATCAGGGCCGGGGGGTCGCACCTGCCGTGCACGTGCGGCTGGTAGCTCGGCATGTCGGGATTGTCCACCACGGCAGGGTCGATGATCACGGCGTAGAGCATCGGGGATTTTGGTAGGAAGGAGAGGCCGGCGGCTCTCTCCATAGCCGTCGGAGGCTTAGGAGGCGCCACCGCCCTGTCCTTGCCGAAGTACACTCGCTTAGAGAGGTGCAGCCCGTCTTCCACCGCCGCCTCGAAAGCCTCCGCCTTCGCCATATCGATAAGAGAGAACAATAATTATTTGGAGCACAAAATTGGTGTATAAACACGATCGTTGTAGAGTTGATTTCTCCTGTAATTCCCACGAATCGAGTTAAAATGAAGAAGTTTTTCGGAGGAGGACAAGAGATGGCCGTTGTAAGGGTGGGCCCTCCTATGATCTACTGCAGGGGATTGATTTCGACCGTCTTTTCCGATTTTGTTCGCTTATGAGTTGTACCCTGAAAGTCGTGATTATGCACATTGAATCGGACGAGTAAAGGGTATTCTTTGTGTCCCAAATGTACAAATAGTCGAAGCTGATAATAGAAGATCCTTTATCCTTGGGTTCAGATGATTGGGTTAAATGTAATTTTGAGTACAAAGGTGTTCTTTCTTTGCGTGTCCATTAGATATGACGCACTAATTTCGGGAACACGGAATTAGGCGAACCGTTAGATGCCACGTGGACGGTCAGTTTCGGCGTTTTGAGGTAAACCCCATTTCTCCTCTACAAACTCCGTAAATTTCTGCGATCTGCATTCAATGTACTTCTGTAGGAGTAATAAATAATTAAATATACTTGCACGGATATTCACAACGTTTTTTTTTCTTTTTTTTTCCGCATCCTAAAATAAAGGAATCATATGCTCCATTTATGTTTATATACTAGTTTGTTCTTAGTTGTGCATAACACAGTCGGGCCCAATTTAAAATCTAAAAGTATTTTAATTAAGAATTATGTGAATATTATATAAGTTGGAATTGTTTGTATAAAACTGAAAGAATACAAAGAAAATCCTATATGCATATCTCGCGGAATTGTTAATGAGCGTGAGAAAAAAAATTTCGACATTATCAATCTAATGAATTACAAAGTAATTATAAAAATCGACTATGTTCACAGATATAATATGATTTTGGAAAGAGCATCGAATATTTTCTCATCCATGAAAGTAAAGCAACTAAGGTATTTTTTCTACATGAAAAGTAATCATTTTGAATGTGAAGTTAAGTATACCAATCGGCATTGCCATTGTCGTTTAAAAGACCCTTTGTAGCCCAAGTTTGATGTATTTTTCTTATGCGTTACAAATGATATCAACTTAATATATGGCATCACAACTTTACGATTGTTGTTTTCTTAGATATGAGAGCTCCAGAAATGCATTGGTGTTACCAAAGAAAGAAAATATTTTGATACTCATTCGGCTTTAAATTCAGAATTATAGATCCGTATAAGAAAATGCTACGTATAAGAAATAAGCAGTTATCAAATGTGATCACTCAATGTGGCTTCTTTTCATAGTCAACACAAAATGATGTTGCGGTAATCTCATTGGATTCAAGCACAAAAATTGAAGTTAGTAGCCTATTCGACTGAAAATAAAATGTACCCATATTGTATATTTTTTAATGAATAAAGGCAGACGAACTATCAACCAAGTTACAAAAATTTTCAGCATCCTCATTGTCAATTCGTGGGTACACTTTCTTTTACTCATTTCATTCACTGTCCAAAATCACAATTATCTCACTCTTAAGCCAATTATGCAGTTGAACTCCTTAATGTACAAAACTTGCTAGTCTTCTCTTCCTTCCTATGCGACATTTTGGCAGTCATGGTGGCACAATAGGCCGCCAAGGCACCTATGGCGGAATTTTGGTAGACCATTTGCCATTAATAACACTACTTTTGAACAATGAGTTTTTCTACCCCAAAGAGCTCTTTTACCATTTTCCGTTGACATCTGCAAAAAAAATTGGTAAAGAAATTAAGCAATCTTCACTATCAACAAATTCAAAAGGTAATTTTTTATGTTTCCAAAGTGAAATGCATACCAGCTGCTTCCATAGCAGTTATCAAAGTCTTCTTCGGGAACTTTTTGATATCAGTATTGATTTCCGTAAGAAAAACTCTCTTGAAGGTGACTTCTTACCATATTGGGGACATCTATAAGAACCTAAAGCGTGGCAAACAAATTATTGAACAAAAAACTATCATAAAAATCAAACGAACCACTATAAACATCACAAACATTCAAACAATATGAGGAGAATGTTATACCCAGGGAGCCAAAAAAAGACAATTAATCAACACAAATACGCAAATCAGCTCATCACACGGTTATCAATAGAAAAAATGAATATAACCAAGCAAAATTCATCAACAAAATAAAAAAATGGGAGAATGATATACCCAATTCTAGTCGATGACATCAACGATGACCACGAGTGTCACACCCCGCCTTACTAGCTTTGAAAAATCAGAGTAAAATTTTCGCTTTTATTTTTGAAAGATCGTGCGAGCTGGTTTTCGAAAATACTAACTTGTAGCGGGATGTCACAGGTGAAAACTTGCTTAACTTACTCACAAACATAAATAAAACATGCAACCAATCAATCCGCTACGGAGAATGGAATCACACATGCAATGTCTGAATGTCTCGCACAGTCTAAGTCTGCTAGCGGAAGCATATTCGAAATACAGAAATACATGCATAAATGTCTGAATAATACATGATCATAAAATTAGGACATAAAATGTAGGTAAAAATGTCCTCGACTATCATGACCACGCTTGGCCACGCATGTGCTCATCCGGCACGCTCGACTCCGTCACCTGAAAAATACAATGGGGGAGTGAGCAAACCACTATGCTCTGTAAAGACCAGTACTAAATAAAACAGCATTAATAATAACATATCATGATCATCAATATATAAGAGCTTAAACTGTAAACTTTTCTTTCTTTCTGTACTGTGGTCAAAAGACCCTCGGCCCTCGGCCGCTCGTGTGCACACCCCGATTGGGATATTAAGGTCCTTGGCCTCCATCGGGCACCAGGTGGACTATTAAGGCCCTCGGCCTCCAATCCTGGGGGATATACCTGTCTCGAACATACCTCAGTCATGATACAGATGTTATACATGATGTTGAATGCAGTACCTGACCTGATAACTGAAATCTGACGCAAGTGCTTGAAATTAAAGTAGCGGTCGGAGGCTCGACTCTCCTTAGGCTACATAAACATTTAAGCAAAATAATGCTAAGTATAATGCTCGGAATATTTAATTATTTGCTAAGATGCTCGGTTCTATCTGATCGATTAAACTGGACTGGTTTGGCTCAGAACAATACTTAAATTCTGGAAAAAGACTCGGACCGGAAGTCACAAATCAAAATGAACTCGAACCGTCGGTCGAACCAGCCGGACCGTCGGTCCGGGCGCTGTCGTGCGGCTGGGCACGGACAGGCACGGAGGGACTCGGGGCAGACGCGGACTGAGGCACGGGCGCTGCCAGGCGTCCCCGAGGTCACTGGGCACTCGGGCGTGATGCTGGGGACGCACCAAGGCCGACTAGGCTCAGCAGACCCGGCTCAGGTTGGCACTGGACATGGCACGAGGCTCTGGCACGAGACCTCGTGCGCTGGGACTGACACGGCGCTGTCGGGCACCGTGCGTGTGGCCTGGGCACGTTGGGTGTTATGGCCACACGTGCTGGCACTACTCGGTCTACTCCCCGCGGGGCACGAGCGGCTGGCTCAAGACCACGCGTGCATGGACATGGACAGCTGTCGGGCGCTGTCGGAGGGTGCTGGGCGCGACTGGCGCCGTGACCTCGCAACGGGCGCGAACAGGCGCTGTTGGGCGCTGTCGCGTGCGCTGAGGGGCTGTGATGAAGTATCGTGTGTTTTCCCAACTCGATTGTCTCGAACCAAGCTTTGCCACGGCTTGTCCTACGACGATAGGTGTGGACGACTTGGTTATTAGCCTTATCTTCTCACGATTTTGAGATGGTTCGGGTCTTAGCCTAGCCAACTCGATTTGTATGATAAAACTCTCACGAATTCTAAACACACGGTTTTGTTCTCACGAACGATTTTCCATTACTTCTTAACCATCATTGTTCATATATTTTTGAATGACATATGGGTGGTATTTATAGATACCAATTAGATCTAATCCTAATCTAAGAAGAACTCCTAATGCAAGTAAACAAATAAAGTCCTAAGGAAAGTAAATACCTAATAAATATAAACTTACCTAAACTACTTAGGCACATGCCTTTTATTCCATATCCTAACCAAACTATTATTCCTAAGCTACTAAGGGAAATCGGCCCTTAGGCCTTCTAGAAGGATCTCGGGTTCTTGCTTGCTCGGCACTTCACCCGAACCCTAACCGTCGCGGCTAATCCTTGTCCTCCGAGGTCTTGGCCTTCTCCCGCGTCCCACGCGTCGCACGCGTCTGTTGCCTTGTGCCTCAAGTCGCGCGGATTCTCTTTCAGTCGGCGCGCTATGCCTAATCCCTCGAGGACTCGCGCCATCCAACTCCCGCGTGCCTCGCGTGACATCGCCCGCACCTCGCGTCAACCCCTTCGCGCTACGCGCGCGTCTATTCCTTCGCGCGTCCCTGCGACCCGCGCGTGAGCTGTGCTCTCTTGCCTCGTCGACCTTGTCGACCCCTTCCACTATCGCTCCGCGCGTCGAGCCCCACTCGCCTTTGCGCCATTTCGCGCTTGTTCCCGCTCGCGCACCTATTTCTTTGCCACCATCCCGTGTGCACGCTAGCCACCCTACATTCTCCCCTCGTGCACCATTTGCCTTAGCCATCGAATGTTGCTTGCGACGATCTCTCGCGCATGCCTTGCACCACTCGCCCACTTTCCTGGGCTCAATCTTCTCGCTCTCATCATCGGCCCAATACGCGACTGTGGGCGCATCTCCCATCGCGTAGCCTCTCCGGGCCTTCTTAACATGGTCTCGGTACTCATCCCGGGCCCTCGCGCGCTTCTTCTCACGGCTTTCGCGCGACTCATCCTCGGGCTCGGATTGGTCGATGACCACATCCGCATCATTCCATCCCCCTTTGTGTTTGACCTTGTCCTCAAGGAGAATGAGTTGAAGATTCTTCAATTCGACCGGCTCAGTTCCTTCGTCACTCGTGCATAGCTTGATCCTCTTCTTGGCCCTTTTGAACTCCATCGTTCCTGTTTCGAAATTGGTAACTATGGGCCCTAACGTCTCCAACCATTGGACCCCTAACACCACCTCGGGTCCTCCAAGATCTAGCGCAAACAAATCCACTTTCAGCTCTTCTCCTTGCACTTGTATCGGGACATCTTTGTATAGCTCCGAACTCCAAAGCTCTTCGCCGTTTGCAACTCGTACTCCAAATGGTACAACCCCGGTCATTGGAATCTCAAGTCTTGCGGTGAAGTCCAAGCTTATGAAATTGAGTGTCGACCCACTGTCGACCAACACATTGACCTCTCATCCCAAAATCTCGGCCTCGAACCTCATCATCCTGGGTCCTTTTTCGGCTTTGACCATATGCAGCATCTCCAATTGCGGATTCAAATACAAGTGCCCTCCTTCACCGTGTTCTTCCTCGGGTTCGCATGTATCGAGTAGGTAAACCTCTTTACCCTTGCACCTATGCCCGGGCGTGAACGGTTCATTGCACGAGTAGCATAGACCCTTCTCGCGCCTCCTGTGCATCTCTTCGGAACTTACACGCCGCATGTAATTCGGTGGTCGAACCACCTCGTTCACTTTTGCGTCCTCGATCATCGGCGGTGTATCCGCGACCGTACTCGCGCGCCGCGCCTCGACGCGTCCGTCACCTCGACTCGTCTTGCGGATCGCAATCAGATGGTCCTCTCGCATTCGTGCCGACTCCATAGCAGCTCGCATTGACCTTGGTCGATCTAATCGCACCTCGGCAGCCAGTTCGGGCTTGAGCCCACCCACAAATGCTCCAACCAACGCACTCTCGGGCCACTCGTGCACTCGACTAGCAATGCGCTCGAACTCTTTTTGGTAATCACGCAGACTACCACCTTGACGTATACGAGTGAGTGCCTCGTCATAGTCATGGTATTGGCTCGATCCAAAGCGCGTAACGATCTCCTTCTCGAAATCTCTCCAATGTATCCGCATACCTTTGCCTTTGTAGACGTGCGAGATCTATTGCCACCATACATTCGCCTCACCATCGAGATAGTAGGCGGCGATTTTGACTCGATCAGATTTGGGCACGTCATTGATCTCGAAATATTGAGTAGCTCGACTCAACCACGCATCCGGGTCGGTCCCCGTGAATGTCGGCATGGTTAGCCTCGGCTTCTCGACCTTTCTCTCCTCGCGTCGACCAGACGCTCGTGTCCTCCTCGATCGTCGATCATGGTCCTCGTGGTCGGACTCGGAGCTGCTCGATCGAGCTGTGGTCGAACACGACCTATGACTTCCTCGCGGTCTTCGTGTAGCTTGAGCAAGTTGTGCCGCAAGATCGTGCACCATGAGCTCCAACTTTGCAAAATTCTCGTTGGCCGCATGTTGTCCATCACCAAGGGATCTTATGCTCTCCTCCAACATCTCGAATCTCTCTCGGTTTGTCATGGCTTTCTCTTTTTTTTAGGGGAAAAAAAATCGAAAAAAAAAAGAAGAAGATAGAAAAAGTTAAACAAAACACACGATCAACACCTCTCAATGAAAGCACCAATGATGAAGTATCGTGTGTTTTCCCAACTCGATTGTCTCGAACCAAGCTTTGCCACGGCTTGTCCTTCGACGATAGGTGTGGACGACTTGGTTATTAGCCTTATCTTCTCACGATTTTGAGATGGTTCGGGTCTTAGCCTAACCAACTCGATTTGTATGATAAAACTCTCACGAATTCTAAACACATGGTTTTGTTCTCACGAACGATTTTCTATTACTTCTTAACCATCATTGTTCATATATT